TATGTTTTTAATTTTCAGGAAATTATGATTTTATTTGTTTGATAGATTTAGCTGTTTGTTTTATCTATATATAGTTATATTTTCAAGTTTTTAATTATAACATTTATAAATTGTGTTCTGAATTAGTTATCTAATATGATATACAGAGTGATTCTCTTGCTAATTGACTCAAAGCAGTGTCGCCAACTATCACTTTCATTTCAGGTACGTGTATATATACATATAGCTGTGTCAGTGTTTGATGATAAATCACACATGCCAACGTTCCCTTTAAGTTGATTGACGAAAGAATCACTCTATATATAAATGTATAAATAGATATTTAAAAATTATAAAATTTAGTAATTTTTGTTTAATCATTTTATGTAATCATTTTATATAATCATTTTATATATTTCATTTATTAATGCGTTCAAGCCGCGCGCTTTTCCATATTCTACATGATAGAAACGCGTAGTAATAAGATAGCAAGAACAACGCAATTTTTTAAAATTAATAGTAGATATTATTATTTAGCGTCTTTCCATAACTTTATATTCGTTTTCCAGTTTAAATTATGTTTTTAAAAATATATATAATTGGAACCACCTATGGTCCACGCCGGGTTGAATGCGTTAATTCTTCAACCGCGTACGATGAAATATTTCATTATACCAAGAAAATCACTGTATTGTTTTTATATATTATCGTCATGATACAATATAGTTCGTCATAACGAAGTATAGGCATGATGATATGTCTCCTCACCACAAAATGCACATTAGGAGCATGACGACATATATTGTTATCTTAAAATAATTACCCATTGCAAATCTAACTATTTCGACATCGACTCGAGAAAATTAAGCGATTAACTGGCTATTGTCGATTAATTAATATTATTATAATTTTAAGATAAAACATATATTCTATTTCTTTTGAATGAATATCATTTTTAAATGTCGATTGTAAGTAACAAGTAAAACTTAATAATCTTTATAAATTTTAGCTATTATTTCTCGTCAATTTGTTGAAATGACAAAGGCCAGAATAGAGGGTTTACTTGCCGCATTTCCAAAGTTAATGAGTTCTGGCAAACAACATACATTTGTTGAGACAGAATCTGTGAGATATGTTTATCAACCATTGGAAAAAGTATATATGCTACTAATCACAACAAAAGCTAGTAATATATTGGAAGATTTAGAAACATTGAGGCTTTTTGCGAGAGTTGTAAGTATGTTATAAATATAAAATTAATAAGTATGTTTGATTCTCAACTGATATTTAATAATTTGGTTAATAAATTTGCGTGATAAATGATTTTAATTTTTATAGATTCCAGAATATTGCAATTCAATGGATGAACTTGAAATAGCTGAAAATGCATTCAATTTGATATTTGCATTTGATGAAATAGTTGCATTAGGATATAGAGAAAGTGTTAATTTAGCACAGATTAGAACATTTGTAGAGATGGATTCACACGAAGAAAAAGTTTATCAAGCTGTAAGAATGACTCAAGAAAGAGAAGCCAGAAATAAAATGCGTGAGAAAGCAAAAGAATTACAAAGGCAAAGAATGGAAGCAGTTAAAAAAACTGGTCTTAAAAGTCCTGGATTTGGTAATTCTTATGGCAGTGGTAACTTTACACCAACACTTAGTGTGAGAGATACTACTAATTTTGTACCAGAAACAGTTAGACCTTCATATACACCGACACAGTAAGAAATAATATCATATAAATGTAATTTTATTAAAAAGTATATTATAAAAATATGTATATTTTATGTATATACAGAAAGCCTGTTAATGCTGGTCCAGGAGCAATGAAATTAGGGGGAAAATCTCGTGATGTTGATTCATTTGTAGATCAGTTAAAGGAAGAAGGAGAAAATGTTGTAACAACACCTTTGCCTACAACAGGAGCAAAACCAACATCACTTACACCACAGATAATTAATACTGAACCGTAAGATATTAATTTATTTAACTTATATATATATATATACACACACACATACGTTATTGATTATTGATTAAATAACTGATTTTTTTTTATGTTAAGAGTTCACTTGCGACAGGAAGAACGTCTTAATGTAAGAATTGGTCGAGATGGTGGCTTACAACACTTTGAACTCCATGGTTTAGTAACGTTACATATTTCGGATGAAAAATGGGGTCGAATCCGTGTACAATTAGAAAACAGAGATTCAAGAGGAATTCAATTGCAAACACATCCAAATGTAGATAAAGAATTATTCAGAACACGTGGCCAAATAGGTTTAAAAATTCCTACAAAACCGTTTCCATTGAATACCGATGTTGGAGTGTTAAAATGGCGATTACAAGCTCAAGATGAGACAGCATTACCTATTTCAAGTAGGAATCATTTATCAAATACAAATTATATATAATTTTAGATTTATTATCTATTATTATGTAACAGAAATAATCTTTCTTGTTGTTTAAAACAGTTAATTGTTGGCCATCTGAAAACGGAGAAGGTGGATGTGATGTGAACATAGAATATGAACTAGAACAATTTAATCTGGAATTAAATGATGTTCAAATAAACATTCCATTACCTATAGGATGTAATCCTATAGTAAGTGAATGCGATGGTCAGTATACTCATGAAACACGACGAAATACGCTTGTATGGTCTTTACCAGTAGTTGATGCAACAACCAAATCAGGTTCAATGGAATTCTCAGCACCTTCATCTACTCCTGCAGACTTCTTCCCTCTTCTTGTTTCATTCTCATCTAAGACGTCTTATGTTGATATCAAAGTACGCTATTTTTTATTTATATTATATATATAATTTTTATTTATATTATATATATAATATAAATATATATATATAATATAAAAAAACAAAATTTCAATATTAATATATTTACGCAAAATTAAACAATTTTATATTTTTATAGGTAACTGAAGTTTTACTTGTGGAAGATGAAAGTCCAGTTAAATATTCAGTGGAAACAGTTTTCTTTACTGATAATTACGAAGTGGTATAAAAGTATAAAAGGATCGAAAAATAAGATAATTACTTGTGCTAAGTGTGTACAAAAATACAGAATTAGCACTTCCATTGGAATTCTGAAGATAAAGAGTTTCAACTTATTTGTCATTCAGGTTACAATTTTATTGTTACACGTTATTTTTACCAATGGATGCTTGAATGTATTTCAAGTAATTTACACACACTTATTGAACAATTTGTTCAATCTAGTATATGTCTAATGTTAAACTATTGAAGAAAAATGTATACAGATATTTTATAATTAGTAAAGAAAGACTACTAAAGTTTTATGAACACTTACTATCGACATACAAAAACTATATTATATTAGTTTTATTTAAATTTTTTCAAATTATTTCTTTACAAGATTTGTATAGTTGCAAAAATTTTTAGTAAAACAGGAATTTACTTATTAAATATGAGATATATACATGTGTTTTTTCATATAGACAAATATACACATAACACGTAGATATAATTACAAAGAAATAACATAAACATAATCTATAGGTTTTTAATAAAATATTAATTTACTATTATATTTGCATTCATTTATCTTTGTTATTTTCTTTTTAATAGCATTATTAGAGGCATCTAATGTCTGGATATTTTTTATCCTTGAAAATGCAAAAATATTTTCTTATTTTCAGGAATAGTACTATACATTTTTGCAAATTTTAATAGAAAATAATAGATTTTTATAAATCAGAAAGAGGAAATAAATATTTGTATACGTATATTTTAAAAGACTTTTATTTGAATTTGGACTTCTGTAAATAACAAAAAGCTTATTTCTCATGTAGTCTACTTATTAAATATGTATAAATCAAGCTTCCTATAAGATTTTTTGTTTACATCAGAATACAAATTTCATTCAAATGCATTTTCTAGGAAACATTACTATATAAATAAAATTAAAAATAAAGAGTATTTGTTGAAGTATTCAGATATAAATATTACAATTTAATTTGTACAAATTTTTAAAATCTATAAAAATTTCAAGATATATTTATGTTGTTCATATGATATTATTTTATTGCAATATATCTGATGGTATGTTCACCACTTGTTGTATCAAATAATTTTCGATAACTGCTTTGGCTGAAAAAAAATTAAATCCAATTTTTAAAATATTTCATGTATTTGAAATATTTTTACTTACCAGTTAATGAATTATTTAATACTGCTATATGATAAGCACTTATATTATGCATATTACGGCGCGTAATATCTGCACCTTTGGATAATAATTCATAACATACATGTGGATGATCTCCATGTGCTCCATATATCAAAGGTGTATTTCCTTCCTTTATTATAAAAAATAATATTTTTAAATTTTTAAATTTATTTAATAACGAAAACTATCATGTATAACATATACCTCATCACTTGCATTGGAATCTGCACCATGATTTAATAACAATTTTACAAGGTCATGATGTCCATAAGCAGCTGCTAAATGTAAAGCAGTCTCTCCATTAAGACCACGGTAATTCTTGTTAGCACCAGCTTTAAGTAATTGTCTTGCACTGCCTAATTGTCCATATCTTGCAGCCCACATAAGACCAGTTAAACCTTTTTCATCAGGTGTATCTACAGTATCTTATTATAATTTATTAATGATTATTAACTACAATGTGTATTATCTTTTTTTTTCGTTTGTCAAAATAACATACTTGGATGTATGTGCTCAGGTGTAAGTTCACCTTGACCAGCTAATGTATGAAATGTAATATCACTTCCACCATAAAGTTGAGATATTTCTGTTTGTGTATTACCTCTTTGTAAATTAGTAAGTAAAGTAGGAGGCTAAAAAAAATATTGAGTTAAAGAAATATTTATATGTCTTAAATATGTAGAAACCTTTTGCATACCTTATATGGTTGAAAAGCACTGGTTCTTGTAGCATCTTGCCATGCTCCTGGAGCCCAATGCCATTTAGTTTCTATGGGTTCGGACTTACACCCAATATTTACATTTTCAGGTTTACAAATTAATGGCCTTGGTCTGATACCAATTGTTGATTCCCCATCACGTACAATACTTTTGGTTTCAGTAATAGAGGTATCACATTTTTGTTCTTTATCTTCTTCATCATCATCTTCTTCTTCTTCTTTTACAATTAATTCAGAGTGAATTTGATTTTCCATACTTTTTTATTCTATAAATATATTTACATTCAATACAGTTATATTTAATAATAAATAAATACAAATACTAAACTCATACATTTTTGTAGGATAGATTTTTGGAGAATAATTTAGTACAAATATATTACATTTACAAAATTTGATTTAATGCTTTGTTTTATAATACAGATTAAACACATATTATATTACATACTAAAAATAAAATTTTTTACCTCTAATTTTTTCCTCTATAAATAATATATATAAACGATTTATTTAGTCGATTATTATAATTAAATGTATATACGCATTCATAAAAACGAACTTTGAAAATCTTTAAATCTTAAAGGATTCATTCATTACAGATTTCATACAGAGGTTATAATTTCATTATTATGTGACATATATTATTATATTTTTATAATTCTTATAATGTACTGAATAATGATGGATATAAATATTTTCACAAGAATTTTAATTCAATTAAACAATACATAAATACTTGTGTAAAAGAATAGAATCACAGCAATCTAAATATATATGTTGTACATCTGAATAAGGTTTTCCACAGAATATTTTAAAACAAAGTTTTTGAAACTTATATTTGTATTAATCTTAATACACGTTAACTTTATGGATTGAGTAATCTATTCTACAAAAATATGAGTAATTTTATAAGAACTCTAATATTTAAAAAGGTAATATTTAAAATTTTGATGTTACCAATTTGTTAACAGTTATGTTTAATATTCTAAGAAATTTAAGAATACATATAATTTAAAACTAATTTAAATTTTATAATATTGACTATATTCATTTTATTAAATAATTTATTAAATAATTATATGTAGGTTAAATGATTATTTTTTTACATGCCGGTTATTTGAATTTTGAATTAAACATAATTAGTACATAATAATACATTTATTTATTATAAATTTTTATACTGTACAAATTATGTTCAAAAATTTTTTACATATAAAATAAATTATTGAAATAAGTATTTATAAAAATTAATTTTCTTTTAGGTTATAAAACCGCTACATATAGACAATGTATGTGAATATAAAATTATGTCTAATTTGTATGTCACATTTAGAAAGAAGATTGATACATATACCTTTGTACTTCCTTTAAAATCAAAAAATTATGATTTAACAAATAAAATTAAAAACATAAATGATTTAAGGAGTACTTTTGATAGTGTTGCAGTTGAAAATAATATCATGTATTTCAATGTGTTAAGAGATAATTATATAAAACAAATTTTAGAAAATAATATGTTTGGTGTTAGACCACCACTTGCAGATAATTATAAGAATATTATAGTGGAATTTAGTTCACCAAATATTGCTAAACCTTTTCATATGGGACATCTACGTTCTACTATTATAGGAAACTACATTGCTAATCTAAATAGTTTTTTACAAAATCAAGTTACAAAGATAAATTATTTGGGTGATTGGGGTACACAGTTTGGTTATGTTTATATAGGAATGAAAATGAAAAATATTGATAATATAGAAATGCATACAGATCCCATTAAAACATTGTATACATCTTATGTTGATGCTAATAAATTAGCTGAAAGTAATCCAAATATACATAAGCGTGCTAAAGAAATATTTCGGCAACTAGAATTTGAAGATGATGAGGTTTATAAGAATTGGGGAAAAATTAAGCAATTTACTGTCTTAGAGTTGGAAAAAACTTACAAAAGACTAAGTGTAATATTTGATCAATATGAGTGGGAATCCATGTATAATGCTAAAAAAGTAAATAAAATAATTAACAAAATGGAAGAAATGCAGTTATTAAAATTAGATAATGACAATAGGAAAGTAATAGCTGTGAGTAAAGAAAAAAATCCAGTTCCAATAATGAAAAGTGATGGTACAAGTCTGTATATAAGTCGAGATATTGCTGCTGCTATTGATAGATTTGAGAGATACAATTTTGATGCTATGTATTATATTGTAGAAAATGGTCAGACTGATCATTTTAATAATTTAATTCAAATTTTAAATAAAATGAATTTATCTTGGGCAGATAGATTAAAACATGTTAAATTTGGAAAAGTACATGGTATGAGCACAAGAAAAGGTACAGCAGTATTTTTGGAAGACATTTTGAATAAAGCAAAAGAAATTATGAGAGAAAGACAATTAAAAGCAAAGAGTAAGTCTATATTATCTGTAATTATAAATAGAAAATAATTATTAAACAATAACAACAAAGCATATTTATATTTTAAATCATTTTAGCAACTAAAATTCCACTAGATAAAATAGATGAATCATCTGATATTTTGGGTGTTTCTGGTGTAATTATTCAAGATTTAAAACAAAGTAGAATGAATAATTACAAGTTTGATTGGGATTTAATGCTTAATGTAAGTTATTTAGATAGATTCTTAGGAAACATTTCAAAAATATTTAGTGATAGAATATGTTTTAATACTAGATGAAAGGTGATTCTGGAATAAAATTACAATATACACATTGTCGTTTATGTAGTTTGGGAGAATTATCTGATGCTACATTAGTAACAAAATGCGATTCAGCTCTTTTAAAAGAACCAGAAGTTGATCAGTTAATTTTATTAATTAGCCAATTTGATGAAGCTGTGCTTAAATCTTATGAAGAATTAGAACCACATATATTAACAATTTATCTTTTTCGTTTATGGTTAGTAAAAATACATATTAAATGAATATGTTCAAATTTTTAAATTTGAACTTCGTATAATTCTTTTTACATATTTATTTCCTATATACATATTTTTTAGTAAAGCAATCAATATGGGCTGGCATAAATTGACTATAAAAAATGAATCAAAGGATTTAGGGAATCAAAGACTACTATTATTTCATACAGCAAAAATTATTCTTGCTCAAGGTATGAAATTACTTGGTTTAACACCTCTTGAAAAAATGTAAGAAAAAAAAATAAAATTTTTATACTAAATAAAAATGTTATATTTAATACATATAATATTTAAATCATCATGATTATACGTGTAAGTAGATTATATAATATTCAAAGGTAATAAATAATAAATTTCCAGGAAAAATTTTAATTAATAATTTTATTGATCAATTACTTTTTCGTCGTATTTTTTTCTACAGAATATCCACTTTATAATAACATGCATTCTATTTTGAAATATTTAATGGATATTTTACAAAAATTTATTCAAATTTAATTTCAGTGTAGGAAAAATGAAAAAAGAAATTAACGTTTCTTCCATGTAAATTTTCTGCGAGCTCCTTCCTGACCCCACTTCTTCCTTTCACGTTTTCTCCAGTCACGTGTTAGAAGACCAGCTAACGAAAGTACATTTTTACAGATTATATATTTGTTGCGTTATAGAAATAGATAGTGTATTATATAAATAGACATGATAACTGAATAATAAAATTGGATAAATTTTTATTGAATTTTTGAATCGCCAACAGTCTTGAGAGTTTTCATCCAACAATCGATGTCTCGATTATCGAAACATCAAATAATCGAATTCACAGTTATATGAATTCGATTATTTTCAGTTGTATTCTTTGCACGCGATATGTTGAGCTAAATGTGTTTTCTGCAAAAGTTTTAATTTTATTTAAAAATGTATCACTTTGCCATCACTTGTAGAAGATGTAGAAGTGTATTTTACAAGCAGGTACACGAAATTATTACGATTTGTAATTTAGAAATTTTATAATTTGTGTAATATACTTCTTACAATTGTACAATAACGAAGAAGAAGTTTTATAATTATAGTAAATATTACGTTTAACTTGTATATCCTATAGGCATTAACTACATGTTTTCGAGTTTGATTAAATAATCATAGCTAAACGAATTTAATGACTGACCTCGTTGTCACTATAGATTACATGCACTATTGCTCTAATAGAGGGCTGTTATAATTACAAAGCAGTTCCTATTATACTTTTGAAAAACAAATTGCAACTTTTTTTCTTTTTACTTGCTTGCTTAAAAGTCGAAGCAAGTAAAGAGAATTTAAACGAAATATTAATTTTATTTTACTTACGATTTAGTAAATAAATAAAATAAAGTTACACGCTCAGAAAAAAAATATAGTACTTTGATTTGCAACTGCAAAAAAGACCAATCAATACTAATTAAATTTTTTATAATATTCACTTTTTTTGAAATGTAGAAGTCAGTATACATTTTTTAGGAAATTAATGCATTATTGATTAATGTTTACATCTTCTACGACAATGTATAATATTCTTATAATATAAATTTATATTTGGAAATTATACATTCACCATGTGTAATAAGTAGGTAATTATAAAAACTGGGTTTTTGCTTACCAATTCTCATTCTTTCTATCATTCTTTTATCGACAAAGCTTCGAAGTCCTTGTGCAATACCCCATCGAATAGTGCCAGCTTGTCCAGTAGGCCCTCCACCAAAAACTTCAGCTTCAATGTCAACTTTGTCACACATATCCGTAAAAATTAATGGAAATATAATCTGTAATTCAAAATAAGTTCAATTAAGAATAATCGACATCACGTTGAAGATATAAGGAAGGTTAAAACGTTGGTTTGAGAATCATTAAATTTGTTTATGTAAGTAAGAACAGGTATCTTGAATATTATACAATATGTACAAATTTAAGATTTTTTTTCACGTTTTGTATAAAAGATTTTGCTTTGCAAGACAATTTAGAATGTAAAAGATATGCTAATTCAATTACCTAATTAATTCAAAATTTCATTTCACAGTGAAATGTGTCCGTTAGCAAAAAGTATTGATTCTTGACAATTTTTCCTTTCCAGATAAATGTTGTGAACGATCACGATGGATGTCATATATGTTTGAACAAATATCGTGGTTTGAACAATGTCGCTAGATTTTCTTATTAGATCAAATACTTATAAAATATGGACATCGGACTTACAATAATGATAATTACAAAAATATAGATATTATAAATATTTCTTTAATGAGTGCGAAAAAAAAAGAGCAGAAGTTAATACGATTAATGTCTCATCTACTGAATTCTCATTTCCTCTGTCTATTTTCATTTTCACTTTCTGGTTTTGTGTCCCTACAAGTCACTCGTTGCAATATTTAAAACTTATATCATTTATATTGAAAATTTGTCCCACATGTCACATTATTAACTAACTGCAGTTAGAGCGTGTCCTCGAGTGTTCTTAAAGATTAAACTACATTTTCGGTAATTTTAATTCAGTCAGTACCTAGCTGATCTCAGTTAGTCTTTTGCTTCGTCAGACTTTGCACAACACTCTCCAACATTTTATTACTATCTAAGAGCTGTTCCTTCAGCGACTTGATCGTGTCCTCGTAGGACTCCAACTTATTGACCATATTCTCGATAACTAGCTGCAAATTCGAGTCAAAGTATTCTTCGCTCTGCTGTCTCATCCTCATCACGTGATCGCTCAGATTAATGTTATCATCGTCCATGAATGGTATGTTCTTCTGTGCTATTTCGTAAGCAGCCTTCAAAATGTCCTTCGGCAGCCTCTTCTCCAAGGGGTTCAGCGGTTTCACCACTAACACCCTTTTCCTGTGTTCCACGTTGATCTTGTGATCGGACATCCATTTCCGGAAAGCATACGGAATCGAGCTATTATGCAACACCATCTCCGTGAACAGGATCAATTTTGTCTGGCGTACGAGTTTCGTGAGACCAGCGTGGTTCCTTAACCCTTGAATATCATGAACAGCGATTCCCACCAGCAGATTCATCAGGATCACCGTGACGAATACGATGAACAGCGTGAAGAGGATCTGAGAGCACACTGACAACGGATGATAAATAACGAATGGTCCCTCCGGGTTTCCGTCTAAGCCTTCGTCGATTTGCGTGATCAGCCCCTCGAAGTCCAACTCTCCGGCCATCATCGCCAACACTTTAATGAGGCCGGTGAACGGATTGCCGAAGGATGGTTCGCCGACGAAAATCACGCAGAAGCTGACAGTGAATCCTATCAGTAGTCCAGAATAAGCGAGCAACAGCTTGGCAAATTCGAACTGTATGTGGGTAAACATGGCCACGTACGTGCCGAATGCTGGAAGTTGGCCAACCATCAGCATCAGATTTGTCCAGGCGCACAATATCGCGAACGCTCCGACGTAATTCTGCCAATCGTACGTACGCCCCGTGTACACGAACGACGTGACGAAAACGCTGATTATCACGATGCCGTCCAGCACGTTGTCGATGTTAGAGAAATATTGCTTCGCGGACGTGTATACCATGAAGCCGAATATCTTCCTGGGGATGGAGATGCAGGTGAAGATTAGCAAGAGATACCATTGGATTTCGATGACCGGTCGCCTGAACAGAAATCCAGAGATACGCTTGTTGCTGCAAATCTTGGAGCTGTTCGCCTCGTCGTGGTTGTAGCATTTGTAAGCTAATGCCGTGAGCACGTACGTGGTCATACAGATGACGGTCATCGCGTAAACTAGAATCCTTAGTAGATAAAACTTTCTGATCTTCTCCCATTTCAAGTGCAGGAAAGCCATCACCAATGGATGCGACAGAAGGTCTTTACGGCGTTCCTGGACAAACGTGTTTATGAAGCTGGTCTCGCATTGATTACCACTGGGGAAGAGTAGATCAAAGTGCAACCTCATCTCGAACTCTCTGTTATGAGGAACGGGCCTTCTAAGCGTTATCGAGGCATCTAATCGCTGTCGAAAGACTTGAAGAGATTCCGGTATTTTTCTAAGTATAATGTTCAAGGCGGAGAGTCCTGCACTGGTGGTCGCGCTAACGTCAGCACCGGCCCAAATCAGCACGTCGACGCAGTGAGATTGTTCGTTCAAGGCAGCCACGTGAAGAGGAGTGAAGCCTGTTTTGTCCGCGGCATTCACCAGGGCACCGTGCTTCAACAGAAGTTCAACGAGCTTCGCCGAGGAATGAGTAGTCATTACAGCGAAATGAAGAGGAGTCCTGTGAGCCCGGTCCACCGCGTTAATGTTCGTACCTGCTGAATCTAGAAGCAATTCCACGCATTTTATCGACTGAACGAAACAAGCTACGTGGAGAGGTGTCTCGCCCATATGGTTCTTCTCCACTACGCTCGCTCCTCGTTCTAACAATAATTTCACTATTTCTACAACTCCTGCTCTGATAGCGCAATGCAAAACTGGCTCGACTGTCTCCTGGTAAAGATAGACACTCGGCTTTGCACCGTTGTCGAGAAGTATTCGCGCTACGTCCGGTGAATTTCCGAGGACGGCGAAGTGAAGAGGCGTATAATGATTGATCGGATTCCTGTAATTGATATCAACGCCTCTCTTTATCAGATGCTCGACGCAAGCTACGCTACCGCTTAACGAAGCAGCTAGAAGAGCGTTCATGCCCGTACAAGGCTCCACGTAATCAAGTTTCGCGTCTAATTGTTCCAGTTTCGATAACAAATGCACCAGACCTCGGTAACAGAACCACATGTACGCTATATTCTTTATTCGCTCTCCTAACGGTACTACCGCCGGTAACGTATTGCATTTTTCCAGCTCGTACAGTATCTTCATTTCGGCGGCAGTGAAGATCGACCACATGATCGATCTAAGATCGTTGCTGTTGATCTGTGCTTGCTTGAATACGTCGAGATTATCGTAGAAGAGAGACTCATCGGCCGGCGGAGGTGTACCGGCATCGATTTCCACGTGATCGTTGGCGGACTCGATCCTCGGAATGTCATCGATCACGACTTTCTCCGAGGTGGTCGACTGTCGATGCCTGACGGATCTAAAGGAAGTCAATCTAGCAGACAGGAGATCGTTCGATGGATCGTTCAAATTCGATAAAGAACAATGTATCGTTTTCCCTTGGCGTGGTAACGGAACTCTCAACGTTTGAGTCGTTTTGTCGTTGGCAGTCTCGTTGATATCCGTCTTCGTCGAATTGTTTCTCTCTTCGTTGAAATTCAGGCAGGAACGACGACTTTTTAATTTGGTCAAAGAGTAATGCCTGGTACTTCTTTCGTGATTAGCCAACGGTTTCATTTTCCAGCGGCTCGCTTTGTCGACATTTTCGTTTCGCGCTTCAGTTTCTTCCGTTCTCCGGTGATCGTTTTCATCAATCGAGAGACGACGATCTTTTAAACTGGTTAACGAGTTACGCCGCGGTGATCTTTCCTCGCCAACTATAATCGTTCCACGTTGCACATCAATCTTCGGTATGTCGCTGCAGCTCTCGTGCATCTGTTTATCGTCCATTATCCGCCCGAGAAGGAACCCTTTTCGCCCGTGAACAGGATTGATGAAGAAACTGCGACGCAGGCACAAGAACACAAGACACTCTCTACTATCGTGGATCACCTCGAAAGAACGTTCCAATCGTCATACCTCGGCCTCACTCTTTTCTTCGTTTATCACGTCACGTCCCAAAGTCATTTAGATCACTTTAAGAGAATGCTCTCGTCATTGGAGCACACGCGACTACCGGTGTCACTCGCCCGAGTGACTTATATTAGTCGACTCGTATGGATTCATTCTATATATAAGTTCAGAAGAGGAAAAGACATGCTTCCGTCGGAGTAGTAGCTAGGTACTTCTTCGAATAGAGACCTTGAACTTAAAAACTAAACGGGATAGGGGTCACATCACAATTAGATTAACAACTTGCGATAAACAACTTTCTTCCTTTTTCCCCCTTCTCTTCGAATTTCATTAAATATTTCCAGATATTTTAATTACGAATATCACCAATAGATTTAATATTGTATCGTTCTTCGCGATTTTGTTACATCTTCTTCTTCTGTCATGTCTTTGTTTCTTTTTCTTTTACACTTCACTTGTCGTTATATTTCTCATTATTTCTTCAATGTTCTTTCAATTTCATTAAACGTTCTTATTATCGCATTAATATGCATCAAGTAAGAAATCTTATATTTCCTGTTATAATTCTGTTGACTCACTGTTTTATTTTACAAAAGTTTTCTAGCCTCGAATTTCTTCGAGGTTCGTTTAATTTTTATTTAATTTTGCAGCTTCTCGTTCTTCCATTTTTTCTCATTTGACATTTATAGAATCATTCAACACAAAAAAAGTTCACCGAGACACACCGCGGAGTAAGGATTTTT